CGGGATACAGCGGGATACAGCGCTCCCATACACCGGCATATACTGGGATCCACCGGGATCCACCGCTCCCGATCCACCAGGATATACTGGGATCCACCGGGATACAGCGGGATCCACCGCTCCCGATCCACCGGGATCTACCGGGACACACCGATCCACCGGCATCCACTGGGAGACACCGCTCCCGATCCACCGGCATCCACCGCTCCCGATCCACCGGGATACACCGGCAGCCACCGCTCCCGATCCACCGGCATCCATCGCTCCCACCGCTCCCGCGGACCCCGCTTCTCCCCCGCCCCGCACCCCCGGGACCGGCGGCCCCGCCCCGTTGTCACCCGGGGCACGAGGCCGCGCGGGGCCCGCGGGCACCGCTCCGCCCTGGCAGGGGCGGGCGAAGCGACGGCCACCCCCACCCCAAATACTCACCATATTGACTTCCGAGACCATATCTATACTGGCAATGTCTATGTTCATGCCCACAGCCACTGGGGGACCTGCAAACCGACAAGATGGTCCGCAATGTGAGCTCTGGGAACTTAACTCGTTCTTACCACAGTTCGCTGCTGGGCGAAGGCAGCGTACACATGAATCGTCGTTTAAGCATAACCAGAAAGTCAGGAGGAAGGCAAGAAGTGCTCCTCACTCCTTCCCACCCCCACCCCCCCCCGGCGAGCCGCTGGTCCCGCGGGACCGAGCCGTGCCCACCGAGCCGTGCCTTCCCGGGCTCACCCCCCGCGCCCCCAGAGCCCGGCCGTGCTTTATGTAACCGGCACACACGTGCTGGCACCGGGGCCCCGCTCCGCTCCCTCCCGACACCCCCAGCCCCGCGCCCGGGAACGGCGGCCACCGAGCCCCGGGGGAGGGATGGGGGGGACGAGGGACCACCCCCAGCGAACACGTCCGAAATAAACAAACTAGTTCGAAGCAGGAGCACGCAGGGGGTTAAATGACATTTTTGTATCAGTTAACAGCACATCCTGTACTCAAAAATAGTAACTGTGATCGCAGGCATATTATGCTGAAAGGAACAAAGGTTGGGTAAACTTAAGAGAGATTTGCATCTCGATAAAACCAGTTAAACGAGGGTTTAATTACGGGTTAATAAAGTATCAGCACACACAAAAAATGAGGGACCGATTACGAATATGCAAGCGATTTAAGTGATCGCATTAAGAGCATCCTGTGCTAAGAAAATTAACAATGGGTTTAACTTTGGATCAGCTTGAGAAAATGGCAACACCCCCCCTCCAAAGCAACAGCACCCACAACACGTTTGAACCCCCCCCACACACCAAAGGTACACAGCCCGGATATGCAACCTCTCTTATTCAAAAGCAGTCAAATTACCTCCAAAATCTGGCCTCAAGCGAATATCATAGCCCTTCAGCAGTCTATCCACGGTCTCTTTTACCAGTGACATATTACTAGGGTCATTGACACTAAAGAAAAAAAAAGAACAATACTATATTATTCCTGATTTCTCAGCCCCCAGCTGTACATTCCTCTCAGCAGCAGCATGCATTGCAATTCAAAGTAAAGGAAAAGAGATACCTCCATCGCTTACCTCTGTGCACACACCGCGGCTATTATTAAAGGGAATGACCAAATCCCAAAGTAACCCTTTCTCCGGACTCTCAGCATCCCTTTAGCTTTTGATATGATTTAGGGTTTCAGTGAAGAGAAGAAGAGATCCAACTTATTCTGGCCAGTGCAGTAATTCTAATGTGAAGCGCATGCGCACGGCGTACCACAACATCAAAAGGAGCAGTGGTTGCTGCTGGAGATGGAGCAAATTTCCTTGCCAAAAAAAAAAAATTAAAGGGGAAGAAGGAAATGCATTATTTAAAAAAAAAAACCAAACAAACAAAACTCATCCACAGGAGGATCCAGTATATTTTTGTTGTCCTTTTTGTTAGAATAGAATATAAATCACAGCAAGAAGAGAAGTTTCAGGAGTTGCAGGGTACGGCGGCTTTGCAACCTAGTTTAGGGAAGGGGGGGCTGGACGGACTCGGCTTAGGCAGAGGGAGAATAGGTTAAAAAGGGGAATGCACAGCGTACGTATGGGGACAGGTGGGGGAGAGAGGGGGCAGCTTAACTTTTTGGTCCCTGGAAAGAACCGCCTGAAGCGAGGAGAGGTGCGGGTGAAGGAGCCGGTGCTGGCAACGGGGGCGGGCGGGGGGGAGGAGGGGAGATGGGCGCCTACAGTATTTCTCACGGAGAAAAAAAAATGATGACGAATAGTTTCTTGTAAGAGAGGATTAGGCTGTTTCTTCCCTCCCAGCGATGCCAGGCGCTGTTCCAGGAGCAGAGGCGCTGGGCACCGAGGGGGTCGCCGGTGCCACCGCGGGTCATTGGCTGGTGCCCGAGGGGCGGGCGCGGAGCCCCCCCGGCCCCGCTCCCCCGGCGCCTTTGCCACACACCGACCGATATTTAACCCGGGGATGCGAGTTCTTCAGGGAGAGCGAAACCTGGCCGCGGAGCTGGGGGAGGGAGGGGAGCCGAGGGGAAGAAAAACACCACCCTGCAAGGCTTTCAGTGACCATCCACACCCGGTGTAGGTGCATAAGCCCACTTACCTAAGCGGGTAAAACACCCGAGCTCTTCAAATGCAGCGTGTGATCCAGTTAATGCCTCGGAAGAAACAGGCGGCGAGCGAGAAGCTGATCTGGGGATGCTTTGAGTGACATTTAAATCCTGAGCAGAAAAAAAGATAGGAAGGAGAAGGGAAAAACCAGACTCCCGAAAAACAACAAACAGAGGAGCTAAATTATTCTTCTCCAATGCGCTTTGTGCTCGTCGCTCTTTACACCACCTCCTCCTCCTCAGGCACACGGCCCCGGCCCCGCCGATCCGATCCGTGCAGCTCCGCCGAGCCCAGCTGGGCGGGCACCGGCCGCGGCCGGCCCGGGAGCGCGGGCAAGGGATTGGGAACACTCGGGGCGGCAATTAACCAAAGAAACATTTAACTCGCTGCAGGAGGGTGGAGGAGCGGGGAAAAAAAAAAAAAAAAAAAAAAAAAGAAGGAGAGAAACAAGAGAAAACGGCGGGTGGTGGGGGAGGGACGAGGGTGTTGCACAGCGGGCGGGGTGGGCTGGGGAGCCCGGCGGGGCTCGGTGCCGGCGCGGGGCTGAGGCGCTCCGGAGCTCCCTGCCCTGCCCTGCCCTGCCCTGCCCTGCCCGGCCCCTCCCGCACCCCCGGAGAGCGGCGGGGCCGCCCCTCAGCGCGGGGGTGTCCGGCCCCAGCCCGGCCCGGCCCTGCCCTGCCCCAGCCCGCACCCCGCGCACCCCGCCCGGCTGAGGGAGCGCCGGGGAGCCCAGGGCCGGGGGCTGCGCGGGCGGACGGGGCGGCGGCTCCCGGGGAAGGGCTGAGGGGAGGCGGGGGGTGAAGCCTCACCTGAGGGGCGGAGAGGGGGGAGCGCTGCCCCCGAGAGACGGCGGAGCCGCCGAAAGGAGCGAACAACAGAGCCTGGCGCAGCCGGCAGCCCGGGGAGCTGGCAGAGCTGGCAGCCATTGAACACGGCCCGGCCGTGCCGCGGCTGGAGCGCTCGGCAGCGGGGGAGCCCCTCAGCCCCCACTGCCCCCGGAGCTGCCCCTCTACCCCCGCAGCCCCCGCAGCCGCCCCTGTGCCCCGGCAGCGCTCGCACCGCCCCGCGGTGCCTTCGAGCTCCGGGGAGCGCCTGCCTGGGCTTTTCTTACAGCAACGAGCATCCAAACACATCTTCTGGGGGGCTGGGGGCAATTCCTCAGGCGTATTTTTACCGTCTTCTCCTGTTTGTCACAATTGGAATTACACAAAGTGAGAAAATACACTTTTCCAGCTGAAATTGCCAAGCGGGTACGTGTGATAAATGTGTCTCGTTCGTGTATTGACAAGAAAAAAAACCCAAACGCGTTAAAGAAACGTTTATGGATTTTTAAAGCCGCCCCCCCCCCAAGCCCCACCTCGTGTTCCAGCCTCGTTCGGCGGCCGATGCTCCGCTCCCTGCTCACCAGCGGGGTTTCTGTGCTCGCACAGCCAGGCTGCCTCTGCCAAACCTCTCGGAATTCAGCCCCGAAAGGAAGATGGTGGATACGCTGTGCAATGAATCATTTTACTTTAGATCTATAATAGGCACTTTTTTCTTCTGCAATCATATGATGAGAGCAGGAGGTCTCAAGATAAAACACTAATCCTGCCCTGTGAAATTCACCTGCAAACGCTAACTCGGGACTACAGCTGACACTCCTCATTTCTGAGCCTCTGCTATTAATTGCCGTTAGAGCACAGAAATGTGTCATTCACCACACCTGATTATGGACGAGATATCAACCTGAACCTGCTGCTGAAGGCTGGTAATATTCAGTGCTGCATTGACAGGGAGCTTTGATTTACATATCAACTCAAACTCAGGGGCAGAAAAGTAACACATTTTCATTGAGTGTTAGAATGGTACACAAAGAGAATGCAATCTATGCCAAAATATCTGGCATTTGTTCTTTGCTCTGGTATATGCAGGGAACACTTGTTCTGGGCCCAGAGCACCACTGTGCCATGTGTAGTGAAACCTACTCTCAGTCTTTCTGGCTCTTCCAGCAGAAAGGAACTGAACATATCTCGAATGAATTCAATACATGTGGCTATTGCTGTGTATTATTGTGGAAAATTAAAGTATATCCTTGGGTTTGGGAAGTGTAAAGGCACTACTGAACCATGTTTGGGATGATCTGCATAACTCACTATGTCTGTAAATGTACCACTGTCTGAACAGATCTATGGCAGTAACACTCTCTTAGCACCATTTCAGGCTCTGTATGCCCACACCAGCCTATGACACAACATTATATACTGACAGAGTACAAACTCATACAATACTTTACCTTTTGCAAAGGTTCTCATACTTTGCTATGCACTTTGACATTACTACTCTTTCTCTGACCACAGGGTTCTGGTCTGTCTCTGCCATTTAAAATTTCTTATCGCCTTCAAAATCTCTCATTTATTTTAAGCAACTTGTCAAAGAAATCATTCTCCTCTTTTTCTCACTCGTTTCTGTGTGTTTGATTGAAAACTAGAGGAAGTAACTGGTGTGAACACCAGTATTGGCAAGGTGCAGAGCCGTTCACGTGACATGTTTAAGGATTGCTGAGACTTTGGGTGTCTTACAATGGGCAAATAACCTGGTTCCCAGCTGGATATGGTACTTGTAGCTCTAAAAATATCTCAATTAGACTACAAGTACTGTAAGCTCACAGAGAAGCCAGCAAAGATGGTCATGTTTTAAACAGCGATTGTAGATTATTTTGATTCTTAGCTTTCAAGATTGAGGAGTGCAAAAAACCAGCCCCAAGCTGGAATCCTCCATACGAATGGCCCCCAGCCCTTGCTGGGCAGTGTGTGACACTGGGAAAGAAACGGGCTAGAAAGGAACATCGTATTTTCCTGTCACAAGTTATATCCCAGGCCATGTACTAAGAATTCCAAAGGATTTTCAAATGGCTTTCTGTAAATGTATAGATTATGTAAAAATAAGCTTTCAGGTAGAGTAGGAGTTTCAAGATAGATTCTCAAGTGATCCAATCACTCCAGTCAGTAGAGACAGAAGAGATGCTGATTGATGGCAGCCCAAGAGCAGTAGCCCTGTATCACAAGTAATGTACTAACAAGTGCAAAATCCCACTTAAAAAAAGATTCTTTTCACTGCACCCGAACAGGCTGGTATGAATACAGTTCTATGGAGGTGATGTTTCCAGAGCTTTTGAGCATTTGGATGAGATGGAGTAGTACAGAAATGCTCAGGTGAAAGTTGATTCCAGGTATCAGATAAGACATAATTCTCTAATTTACAGAAGAATGTTAATAATAAAATACTTTGATACATGATTTCAATTTCCAACTTCTGTAAAGCCATACATTCATGTAAAAGAAAACAAAATATAGTCAACCCTTGTAGAAATTTTCTGAACAAGGTTTCAATATACTTTATCTTGTTTTACTTGTCATTTTAGGTCTTCAGATCTAGGGTGTCCCAGTCCATGCATCATGCAGCATCCCATTAGCAATCAGTCTGTCCACATAAAGATCCCTGTTACATCACATACACAGAAAAATTATTCATGCAGGTGTGCCTTGATTCTGCTTTTCATGGGCAGTGGAATTCACCTTTGCACAGTGACAATCTTCTGGGATTTACAGGTTGACATCGGCTTCAGCTCCCGTGTATCTGAGAGAATCCAAACTGGCAAATTTACTGACAAAAGCAATGGGGGATGACCTGCCAGTTATACTGCTCTTGGCCCTTAAAAAACTATGAAATTATTAGTATTGTGCAGAAACTGAGTCTGATAAGTTGCTTAGGGATCAAGTACCACTTGATACAAGCATGAGCTTCACTTAATTGTAAAAGAAGACCAAATGGGAGGGGCAATTAATAATCACTTGCTGGTTTGCATAATTACATAGGATTTGATTTGCTGGAGCTCCTGTTTCTGTCACTCACTGTGCAGCCCCACAGGGTTACAGACACTGCACAGGAGAACTGCCCTGGTTCATGACCGAGGCTGTGCTTTGGGAGTCAAAGACCTGCTGTATCTTTGAACAGAAATCTTTTGTGTAGTTTGAGATCAGCAGATCTTAGATGTACATTGAAGAAAGTCTTTTAATGTGAAATTGAACTACAGGTTAAAAAAAAGTGCAAGGTTGTGCGAGGCATTCCCAGTGCTTTGATTGCAGCCAATTGTCATAACTCGGTGGGGACACAATGCCTGGCTCCTGGATTGAGAGCTGCAGTCCTTTGGCAAATCATGAAAGCACCACAAAAAGCCCTGTTTCCTTCAAAGTGGTAGAATAAATTAGTTTAAGAGCTATATAGACAGCAATTTTTTAATTCCTCAGTTTTAGCTCCACTGGCACTTAGATAGCTGGAAATACCTGCAGGATACACCCCCTTTGATAGGAAGGCAGGGCACAGTGAGGGATTGCATAGGGTAAGGATACTAAAACACTTAAAAGACAGCAAAAAATGTCCACCAAGATTGTGTCACTCTGTGTCTAAATCTCCTCCATGCTGTTTGTGGAAGATTCAGCCCTGAAAGAGACTGCAGAAACCTGTTATTAAATTAATGGAGTGGCATTTGTCTGCATCAGCTGATTGCAGGATTTGATCTTCCTTTCTAAGCTCTCTTGGACAGAGAGTTAGTTTCCTAAATTTTTTATACTGGGTAATACATTCCAAAATAGTGCTGTAAAAAATATCTGAGGGTTCTAAAACTGTTAGGTTAGAAGCTTTTGATGAAAACAATATTTTCTTTTTAAAGCCATGTAGCTTCAAACATCAGTCCTGGGACTGGTATAACTGCCTGCAAGTTTTAAGATGAAAATGGAAATCTACCTAGTTTGAGCTGGATTTTTCTTTAGGTGGAAGGACTTCACTTCTTCAGAGAACTCTTCCTCCTCATTACCACCACCTTGAACAGGGGAGGGGACAACAGGGGGGCAATTCAATAGGAAGAATCTAAGGAGAAGTACTATCAGTGGATCAGCAATACTCAAACTGCTCTCCAGGCAGACGTTTGCAGCAAGAGCTGGAGCACACAGGTCTGTGTCTCACTGTAAAACAGATTCCAGTTGTCCTTTTGTTGCTGTTCTAGAATGCGAGATGAAACTCTCTTTTACTTCAAGCCTTCTCCCAGCCCAGAGCAAACTTCACTGTCTCTCACCTTCTTTCACGCCCATCCCAAAAGTGCTTGTGTCAATAATCCTGTTCTTTACTCGCTGTCCTAAAACCTCAGCTAGTCCTGGTGAGGAGCAGATGTTCCCCAGTGCTGCAGGAAGCAGAAATACATGTTTTGTAGCACATTTTGCCCCTGACTGATCCTTTCACCTTTTGGTCTGCAGGGCAAATGTTTAAAGGGATTGATCCTTGTTTTACAGGTGATCTGCCTCTGTTTACAGTGCTGGAAGGTAGAAGTCTCACAGATAGATGTTTCTGTTCAGCAGCAATTACCAACTCTGAATGGAGCAGTTTTGCTGAGTTGAGAATGTTTTCAAAGGGCTGCATTACCCTCCACAGAAAGAGTATTGTTACTCAAAGGGTGTAGCATGGACATGGAGTGAGGGCCAGTCAGGGTGGCAAAGGCACCTGTCCAGCCCATGAAAAACACTGTTTCTGCTTAACCACAGAGAACACTTGAGGCAGCAACTTACCCTTTGTGGGTATGTATGCATCAAAACACATCTAAAGAAGTGCAAAACAGGTAAGATCAGATAAGTGAATGAACCACAAAAGTGAAATTTGACATGGGAGAATAAAATTAGCTTACCATGGAACACACAGTTGCAGGTCCTACAGGAAATTATGGTAATCCTGGGAAAATCAGAATGCCAGGACAGGAAAAAAACAAAGCAAAACACTCAAACAAACAACAAAACTGACAGTAATACTGTCAGTATTTACCATTGCATCCAAGGATCTCTCTAAAATACTTCAGTGTTGCTGTGGATCTTTCATCCAGCTCTGACCTGGCAGAGACCTCACTGATGCAAAGCAGTCAGTTTGTGCAGTGTTGCTGTGCCAGGTTCCCAGGTGACGTGGGTGAAGCACAGACTGAATAAGCACCCAGGTCCTGCTGAAATTAATGGCAAAATCCACATTCAGCTCAGGAACAGCAACTCCAAGGCCCATCATACAAAGCACTAAATGTTAGAAAACTGGAAGAGGCCCAAGAGTCATGATTATTCAATAACTTCTTAGCAATCTGGTCTCTACCATATTTCCAGGGAAATGAAAAAGAAATACTTTGGAATTTTTATCTAATGATGGAAATAAAAGCATCCTCACGTTCTTATATTTTTTGAAGCTACAGCTTTCAAAATAGAGGATGTGTGTTATTGTGGAGAGGTCAGAGACTGTTCCAGGTCCATTCCATCCTCAAGCAGTGGTTGGGGAGCTCAGAGAGGGTTTGAAGCCATTCTGAATTTGTTTGGAGTGACCTTCTCCCTAATGCCTGGGGACACACCATGTCTGTTCCCCACAGGCCAGCATAAGGTCACTGTCACGACTCCTACTGATCACTTTTCCAGACATGGACAGTTCAGTGAAATCTTAAACAGGGCAATAAAATTGTCTTCAGAGCCACTTTGAAGAGCTGTTTGGAGTTTGAGCAGCATCTTCCCAGCATTAGTCCCTATTCTGACATCTTACACTTAGTCAAAAATACAGGTGACACTGTCACAACTTATTTTTGAGGCTGTGGGTAAGAGTTCTCTTGTCAGGACAAGGCTGATGGATGTTGCTGTCATTCATTCATTCATTGGCAATTTTTTTCTTTTCTGACCCCAGCGCTTTTCTGATGCTGCTGTATAAATCCATATCCCACAGGAGATTTGTCCATTACTGCCACCTATAATTCTGCAAGAATGACCTCTTTTTTCCTTAAAGTTATTACAATGCAAAAGTTTATGATGATTCTAATTTATACTGCCTCTACAATCAACATGGTTCTTTCACCATTTCTACACTTCAGACTGGGTTTTGAGGAAAAAAGCCCAAACAACCACCTTCCATTTCCTTCTTCTACTTCCTCACTTTCACACATTCTCATAATAAATTTATTTGCCACAACAAACTTCTCTTTTGCATGGAATGAAAGCACTCACGTGTCATTCTTTTGCATCTCCTCACTAGTAACCCTGTCTTTCTTTTAAGAAAAGGATTTTCAAATTCTCATTCCTACAGCCTGTAACTGAGCAGATAAATGGTGAACAGTATAATAAATCCTTTTGAAATAGATGCATTAGTACAAGAAATAAATAACAACATCTGCAAACAGGAGAAGATTTAAGGTAAGTTTCACGGGGTTTAGGGAAAATTTACACTTCTGAAACATGACAAGATAAATATTTTCAGCCAATAACAAAAGACACAAATACATAAACAGAAATAGGGGTCTGTGTAAACATTTGGGACCACAGAGTGTGTTTTTATGGTTTGTACAAAGTTAGAGGGGCAGGTGCCCTGAATCCTGAAAAGAAACAGGAATTTCAAGTCAAAGGTTGTTTATCAATGACCTGCAGCCCTTCTTTGCATCCCCTCTGTGACAGGGACTCTCTTACTGCCCTCCTGTATCCAATCCAGCAGCAAAGCTCTGGAAGGTCCCAGCAGGTGATTTTGTCTTTTCCCAGGGCACTGAGGTTGTGGCTCAGTGTGACATGGGAAGGGCATCGTGTCCCTCCCCACCCCAACACTGCTGCCTGGACTGGGACATTGGATTTCTGTTCCTGGGCACCTGAGAGAGAACTCTTAGAATAAGATGGTCTTTTGGGGCCAATTTAGAGCCATTTCCAAGCAAACAATGTTGTGTCTGTGGGTCCTGTGTCAGAATCTAGAGAGGCCCACCCTGCAGGACAGTGTGACCCAGGGGGAGAACACCCACACAGCTGAGTCTGCTGGTCCTTGGAGAGATTAGAACAATCCTTAACAAAGTTTGTTAGGACAACTATCAAACCAAGTATAAATGAGCTGTATGGCACATCACAACAGAAATTAGTAAGACAGTGTAGTGGTTTGAACCAGGTTTTCCCCCTGAAACTAAGAAAGTGGTAACCCCCAGGGGGTGGTGACCCTTGGGGCTTGACCAATCAATGCTCCTGCAAAATATAAACATATCTCTGGAGACCGGAAAAGAAGCAGTAATACTTGTTGTGAGAAGAAGAGGTGGCCATGTTGTAGAGGCCACGAGGAGAAGGGGCTCCGGCCCCTTAGGGGGCTTTGCCCCCCCCCAGCCCCCGGTTGGGGGGCTGCAGGGACTCAGAATTGAACTAAGTGCCTGTGTCTGAGATGCCGAAGGAGTTTTCTCCACTGCGAGTGGGTGACGGAGCAGCAGGGACAGCAGCGTCCGAAGAGCAGTGGCAAAGAGCCAACTGATAAAGACCAAAGGAACAACATAAGCCAGTATGCAATCAGGGCAGACAGAGAGCTGTCTAAAGAGAAGGAAAAGAGAAGAGCCAGCAGCAGAAAAGCAGGACAAGAGACCCGAGCCAGCAGCAGGAAGAGAGTTTCGGAGGGTAAGAACTGGACAAACCAAAACCCCCAAACTCACTAGAGACCCCTCCAAGAAAGAGGAGGGGGTGGTGGACTGAGTGGAGTCCTAAAGTGCAGTATGCACTACAGAGAGGAGCTAAGAAGCTCCGGCCTCCTGAGAGCTCAGCCAGGATGGCCAAAGGAATGTGTGTGGAGGGGGTGACCTTGGGCTTTTTCCCCCCCCCTCCTTGCTGCGGCTTCAGAGAAGCTGGCAGCCATCTTTGAGGCAGAGCATGGGAGCTCTGCACAGGGGCTTGATTTCCCCTGAGGATACCAGACCGTCACGGAGACCCCGGTGCTTCGTGATATGACCATGGTGTAGCGGCCGTGTCTGGGGTTACGCAGCCCATGGAAAGACCCCCTGTTTGAAGACGGGGGCCGAGAGAGGCTTGGAAGACCTCCCTCGTGTGTGCTGGCAGAGAGCCAGCAACTACTACTGCTGCCTGAAAGAGAAGAAGAAAGCCTGCTGCCTAGAGAGAGACCTGTTGCTCAGAGACTGGAAGGGGTCTTTTCTTCTTCTTCTCTCCTGGACTTTTATTTGGAGGGAGAAGAGATTTGGCCCATTGTAAATATTACTGTCATGGTAGAGATAGATATAGAGTTAAGATTGTATGCAGTGTATTATAGTATAAGTATTTATTTGTATAGTCTTTGTAATATATTCCTTCCCCCATATTGAGTCTCGTGTTTTTGTCTGGAAAACCCATCTCACATGGGGTTGAGATGTGAGAGGGGGGCTAGGAATCAGAATTGGATTTTGGGCCTGCTGAAACCATGACAGACAGTTTTGAAAGTAATAAATAATTGCATCTTGAATCAGCTCATTCCGAAGCACAGAAGAGAAAAGGCCATTCCTGACTTTGTCTTAAGTAATTTTCTGAAATCATTCCTGTAAATATGATTGACCTGGTAAAGAAAAAAGCCCTTAATATAATTAAATTTGACATGTTTTGTAAGATCAAACTAAGCAGTAGTTTGCAACAGTGAAATTGAGGAGCCAGATTCTGTTCAAATGAGTGGGTTATAGCAGTTTGAAAGACAGTGAAGTAAAAGGAATAGAGAACTAAAATCCACAGGAAGCAGCCTGGAAAGCCATGCTGTTAGACAGTCAGAGCAGAGCTCTGGAAACTCTTGTTTATCAAATCATGAATATGCAGTGGGCAGAGCAGGTACTGAAGGGGTGTAAATGTAAAGTTTGTAGGCCTCCAAGCCACTTTTTCTGAATGGAACTCAAATTATGGCAGCAAGTAAAATTCTAAACTGTGGCTGCCTAAGAGGCTACAATTCCAATATGACTGCCAAAAATGAGAACAAAATGCAGTACAAAACAAACTGTGGAAGCTTAGCAGAATGCATGTGGGATGTCAGTACCCCCAGAGATCTTTCAGTGAGACAATCTTTTCTACTTAGCTCTTCAGACACAGTGAATACAAGGAACTCACACAGAGCAGTGAAGTAGAAAGCAGCTTTTGAGGCATTCCCGAAGATACAGGTATCAAACAGTCTGAGCAGCAGATATACTAAGACTGAAGGAGCACATTGCCTCTGAATTTGTACCTTTCACAAACACATCTACTCTCCTGTATCCTTGGCAGGGCTTCCTGTGGAATTACATCCAGCCCAGGATCGTGAGCTCAGCCCCAGCAGCACCAGCTCAGCAGGCACTAACGAGTCAGGCTGAGCCCAGAGAGCCCTGCAGGCCTTCCCAGCTCAGCCCCTGCTGCTGGGGCTCAGCCCTGGCATCTGAAACTCAGCCCTGGCATCTGAAACTCAGCC